GCGTGAGGTGACATGCGTGAGCTCACGTGAGGTGACATGCGTGAGGTCGCTTGAGATGACATGCGTGAGCTCCCGTGAGGTGACATGTGGGGCGTCACACGACGTCACGTGAGGTGACATGCGTGGAGTCACGTGACATCTACCCTGACCTGACCTTACTCCCAGACCTAACCTAATGTAACCTAACCTTTGGCCCAGAGCTAACCTGATATAACCTAACCTTAGGCCGAGACCTAGCCTATCCTGAACTAAGCGAAGGCCCAGACCTAACCCAATACAACCTAACCTTGAGCCTTATAACCTAACGTTGATCCCTGACTGATAGTAACAACAGTAGTAGGGATAATAATTATAGTTCCACCCATAGTACTACGTGTAATAAGGATTATTTATATAAAAAATAGATTATTACTATTACTAATAGTTGTAACGATAATAGAAGTAGCAATATTGATAGTGATATAGGTTAAATTGATAATAAAAAGAGCGATTATAATGATAATAATAGTTATATAACAATACTATTGTTGTATATAGCTATTATAACAATAGTTATATATGTAATAATATAGGTTATATTGATAATAATAAGAATAATAAGGATAATGATGATAAAAGTAGTAATATGCGTAATAATATTGATAAAAAGAAGAGAAATAAGAATAATTACAGTTCCAGCGATGATAATAGTCGTAATATGCGTAATAATATTAATAATAATAAGAGTAGTAAGGATAATTATAATTCCAGCGATAATTATGGTCCCCTCATCAGTCACCACTGTGTGTACCGGCTAGGTACGGCATTGGCAGCAAGCTGTAACGTCAGCTGACGCATGCGCATAAAGCTCTCACGTGAGATAAAATCTCACGACTGCCCAATACTGCTTTTGGCATCACGATGGTCACAAGAGCGCATGCGCGTTACCACAGATTATAGAAGGTATAGAGGTTACTCTTTCGTTGACTGAAGTATGTATTCCATTCAATGAAGGGATCCATTATTAAATTCAATTGCGCAACGCGACTAATTTCAGTAGGTATCCCACCGTTTCAAGTTACCTGTCATACATACGGTGGACAACATGTACGAATAGACGGAGAATTGTAACCAGAAATGACCAAATTTAAAAACTTGGAAATTTTTGAGTTTAAGGACTTTAAAATTTAAGAATTTTTAAATTGGAAGGTTTGGAAACTTGAATACTTGAAAAATTGGATACTTCAAAATTTAGAGACTTGGATATTTGAAAATTTGTATTACTGAGTATACATGCTGAGCGCAAGGACCGTCACAAGTGCGCATATGCGTTGCTCTTGGTTACGAAACATATGTATAGTAAACCAATCAGAGCAAATACACAGAATTAGCATGATTTCTCTTTGATTGGAGTATAGAAATCAAATAGAAGTATGAGACCATAATAGTGGTATGCACTTGTAGCTTTAGCGTGGTATTATCATATCGCAGCACCTAAAGATCTTCTACTTAGAGTTCTGAAATAGTCAATCAGATTAGGTCAGGTACGCTACTTTTCAGCGAAATTCATGGCGTGGAATTCTGTTATTTTATTATCAAAATATTTTATTCGCTTTATATATTTTTTATGTGCAATATTTTAAAATTCTTTATTTTTAAATTATGACAAATAAATATAAAATCGCGCTTAATTTACCTATGTCAGGAGTAAAAAGCTTTTCAAATTGTGTTATCATTAACATTTATTACTTATGTAAATTATATTTCTTAATTAAAATACATTATCATTTTTACAAATTAAATTTCGCGGTATGGTTTACTGAGAAATGACGGCACCAATCAAAATCGATACCATTATTTCGTGATTCTGATTATAGGGTCTCTAGCAGCACCACGGCTGTATTGCGTAGGAAATATGGCGTAAAGTAAATGTCGCACATGTGTCAGTGATTTCGGTAAGAGGTCAAATCTTATGTTGCATCTTTCTGTATCAACGTGTGATAAAACATATTTTATCAAGATTTATGTGACAAAAAGATGTAAAGTATTTGATGAATGGTTAAACTAATTGCTCAGGTGTAAAACGTTTGAAACGTGTACTATAACAAGACTACTACTTGGCCAGCCATTTCATAAGACCTACGATATATTTATTCTTATTAAGTGTCGGGTTAACAAACTGATGCGGTATCAGTTCGATGTTTCCCTTTTCATTAGATCATTGATACATCATCGAAGAGTTATTTTATTTCGATGGACAACACTTCGTTGATCGTCACGACACGGAAAGCATCGTTCTAACTCGCTTATATTGGCACGAGAGCGCATTCCGATCTTCTGAGTATTGTACATTGAATTTTTGTTCATCTAGTCAATCGTTCTTTCATCGCATAAACATTTTGAATTCGTGTTATACATTTTTCATTTTTGGTTTCTCAACCATAACCGGCAGATGTGTAAAAAGTCTTGTGAATTTTTGTTTTGTGGGTTTGTTTACACATTATGTGTTGTTTTTATTAAAACTCTTGTTACTATATCCTAAATTCTAGTGCAAGGTAATAAATTTGTAATTTGTCATTTGTGAATGGTATTTTCGTTTCTTTTAATTATTTCCTTGCTCGTGATTGTAATAAATATCAAAAGAAATGATTGTTATTGTTAGTAGTAATGGTCTTGGTAATATTCTTCTGAAAAAATTATCAGTGATGCATAGCTTGATAAAATATTGTTATAATCTTAAGTGTTAGTTTTTTAAGTTACCATAGCATTTATGTTTGTGAATTTGTATTGTAACTACACATTATTTTAAACCTTTTAGACAAAAGCAATTTGAAGGTATATGTGCATTGGATTCTAACATATATACATCCGTAAGAAGCATATCCTTTCTGAACCAGGATTATTAGGTGAGTTTTGACTGTGAAAAATTTTATTTAATGTAATTGGAATAAAGATCCAATTATAAATAGTTTAATTAGGTTCATATACATATATATGTTATTATATGCTTTAAACTTTAAAATTAATGTTCATTGAATTAATTATAGAATATGTTGATCATCTTTTTCATAGAAAATAGGCATGATATTTTTATTTATAATTGCAGTTTATCAATTATTTATTATTAACTATTGGATATATTAGAATAATGGTGTTAGATTAAATTTTTTGTTAATAAAAATGATTCATTTTTATTTATTAAGTAATTTCAGTTAGTTGTACGAAATATATGATAGAGAAATGATAATAGAGCAGGAAAGAAAAAGGAAAAGAGAGGGGATTCTGATCTCAGAGAAGAGAGCCATTTTCCAAGTCTTCGTTTAGACATTCTAAATATAACTGGAGGTTCTATAGGCTTTCCTTACTGTGTCATACTGTGCAGAGTAGTATCTTACCGTGTTGCGTAGATCTTGGTCATTTTCTACCTTTAGTATGGCATCGTGCCAATTTTGTTTGTCTAAAAATTGCTGATCAGTTTATAATATTTTTAAATATTAAATTTGTTAATCAAAAGTGATTCTCTCTTATTCTTTACAACACATACAGTAATACTTTTGTAACCCAATATCTAGATATAAACAGGAAATATTTGATTTCTTTAATGTTTTTATTTTAATATGATTAAATATATATTTTCATAAAATATACATTTCTCTTTTTATGTGTATTGGTTGTAATATAAGCAAAAATTATAAAGTAATGTTATTAATTTAGAAAGTACATAATTTTTTTTTGGTATTTGCATATTAGTGTATACTTTCAAATACTAATTCTATTTATATATTATGTGTTCGATTTGGTGTCTTGTTACAGACCATGGTTTGTATAATTGGTCAACCATGTCTGATTGACTTCAATCTATATCATGGCGCCAAAGATAAGAACCTTTCTAACATCAAATTTGTATTAAGTGAATCTACTCGTGGTAAAGAGCTTTACAATTATATTCAAGAGCTTGGACAAATACAACCCGACAGTTTTAAATTATATTTGGTGTCAGCAACAGGAACGGTTTGTAATTATAATTTATTGATTTAGTCATTAATGGAATTACTTATCTATGATTAGTTTATTCATATGTAAAGAAATGTTTTATTTGCTTTAGATTGATTTGTCTGAAATGAAGGATAAAACAATGTCAGAAATTGGCGTGGATTTTACCTCTGATCGAGACTCGACTGAATATAAGCATACACTTTTAGTTCTGGATCCTGTGGCTAGTTTCTGTGCCAATAGTGTGGCACAAAAACAAGATGAATGTAATCTACCTACATATAATCCTCCACCTCCATCACCTAATGATAAGATTGCAGTGCGCAGATACACTGTTAACCCGAATAGTTACAAGGACCAGGTCTCTGTGGAAAATTACTCTCCTGAACCTGAAATACGTATGTGATTGTTTTTAAAATTAACGTAGGCCAATACATTATATTAGAATATAAATATATTATTAATTTTTGCATAATATTTTTTAAGGTTATTTTGGTGTCAAGAAAAAGGTCTCTGAGGAAAATCACTCTCCTGAACCTGAAACATGTATGTGATTGTTTTTAAAATTGACGTAGGCCAATACATTATATTAGGATATAAATATATTATTAATTTTTGCATAATATTCTTTAAGGTTATTTTGGTGTCAAGAAAAAGGTCTCTGAGGAAAATCACTCTCCTGAACCTGAAATATGTATGTGATTGTTTTTGAAATTGATGTAGGCAAATACATTACATTAGGATATAAATATATTATTAATTTTTGCACAATATTCTTTAAGGTTATGTTGGTTTAGTGAACCAAGCTATGACTTGTTATTTAAATAGTCTACTGCAGGCACTGTATATGACTCCTGAATTTCGAAATGCCCTGTACAATTGGGAGTATGTAGAAGGGTCAGAGAAAGATGAAGCTAATAGTATACCATATCAGTTACAAAAGTTATTTCTAAACTTGCAGGTATCATATTTTCATATATTCATATATTTTATGACACAGTTTGATTACAATAAAATAAATAATTAAGATTTTTATATTTATAGACATCATCAAAATCTGCAGTAGAAACCACAGCATTAACAAAAAGCTTTGGATGGGATTCTACAGAAGCCTGGCAGCAACATGATATTCAAGAACTTTGTAGAGTTATGTTTGACGCTTTAGAACAAAAGTTTAAGAATACAGAACAAGCTGATTTAATCAACAGATTCTATGAAGGTATAAATCTGAATTGTCAGAATGCATATTGGTAAATCGTTTTTAATTGGATTTTTGTATTGTTAGGAAAGATGATTGATTATGTTAAATGTCTTGAATGTGGTACTGAGAAATCTAGAGAAGATACTTTTCTTGATATTCCATTACCAGTAAGACCATTTGGTAGTAATGTGGCATATAATAGCGTGGTAAGTTTATATAATGCATTTTAATAATTAAGTTAATGCATTAACTGCAAGTGTATGCAAAATTTATGTTTAATAGGAAGAAGCTTTAAGAGCGTTTGTACAGTATGAAACCTTGGAAGAAAATAATCAATATTTTTGTGAAAAATGTAATAAAAAGTGTGATGCTCATAAGGGATTAAAATTTACAAAATTTCCATATCTTCTGACACTACATCTCAAACGGTTTGATTTTGATTTCAAAACTTTTCACAGAATTAAACTCAATGATAAGTAAGTATATATAAACTATTAGTTTTCTGTTAATATTACATTTTGGTTCATTTTTCACTTGTGATTTTAGGGTTACTTTTCCAGATATACTTAATTTAAACCCTTTTATATCTTCGACACCAAATCAAGAAACTCCAAATAGTGATGAAAATATTGGTTTAGTAAAATGCGACGATAGTTCAACAACAGATAGTGGTACATTAGATGATGATTATGTGCTTTGTGAAAATAATCTTTCTAATAGTAATCACTGGACAAATCACGATCAAGATGACGATGAAGGTACACTCATTTCTTAATTGACAGATGTTGCAAGATCAACAATTATTTGAACGGTTTATCTTTAGGTATAGACATGAGTAATGGGCCTTCAACGTCAAATTGCACAGTACAAAATCATGAAAATGAAAAAAATCGTAGTGGGAGTATTGGCAAAGGACCTTATAATTATGAATTATTTTCAATTATGATTCATAGTGGTAGCGCTAGTGGTGGTCATTACTATGCATACATAAAAGATTTCAGAACACAGGAATGGTTTTGTTTTAACGACCAAAGCGTAACTCAGGTATTCTAAGATCCAATAAGTTTATTTTATAGCATATACTGCTATTAGACAAGAGCAGATAAAAATTTAACTGTTTGTTATTATCGGTACAAAAATAATTATTTTAATCCTAGATAACTCATGATGATATTCAAAAAACATATGGTGGTGGTGGTGCAAGCAGATACTGTAGGGTATCAAGTAGTTGTGCCAATGCGTACATGCTTATGTACCGCCAAATCGATCCTGCTCGTAACGCTTTACCCATGCAGGTCCAAGATTTTCCGAAACACATACAGGTAATATAAAGTCCAATATGACGTCTTTGTTTTACGTTTGTTCTATATTTTACATTGTTCAATTATAGGAATTACTGAAAAAAATGAAAGGAGATGAAACGACGAGATGGAATAACGATAGGAAAATACAATTGGTTGATAACTCTCGTTTCATACAACAAAGAACTCATAAAGTTTTGCCGAAACAAAAATTTTTTTCGCGACACAAAACTGGCATATCAGGTTGCATGGATAAAATAAAAGTGCTGTACAAAGCATCTTTCAATGAAAAAATAATACTAAACGATCGACTTCCCATAATGCCTGATGCAACTTTGGCAGAAATAACAAAGCAAGTTTATAACAAATTCCGTCTAGAAAATAAAGTAGACTTAGATCAGTGCCGTTTAGTTGCTTACGACGACCATAATCATATAATCCTGACTAGTTTCGAAGGAAGAGAAAATGAAACATTTGAAAGTATCTGGAATTCTCGAATGAATAGCTTGTTATTAGAATCACGTGACAAAGATCAAAAGTTCGAATCATATCCAAAAGGTAGTATTTATTTTGTCGCGTGAAAGTACGCACATATCACGAGTGAAAAGTAATAATTCGTTTTTACATTGATTTACAGGTATCGTTACAAAAGTATTTATTGTTGATGTACCCACAAGAGAAGTTATAGAAGGGCCAATAACTGTACAAGCATCGCACACACAAACCGTAAGAGAATATAAACAAATGGTGGGAAAGAAGGTTAATATGGATCTCACTGACATGGAGATTATTTTGAGAAAACGTGGATCATCTGCTATACTTGTATCAAATGATGATCTTGAACTTCAAGCTGCAGAGTTTTGTGATTTGGTAAATGTGTTCGTTTGTAGCATGGCAGATGCTGAATATAAACCTTTCCTTAAGACAGCGATATATGACATTGTAAAAGAATTAAAAAACATCATAATATTACGTATAAAATTACCCGATACAAGTAAAGGTAAATATAATATAATAGGACTGTTAACAAGATTTCTAATTTTTTAATCTTACAGTATATTTACCTTTATCTTTCGATAAAATGTTTAGAAACGTTGGAAGAACTAAATATTCCAGCATTAGAAGAGGAACCTACGGAAAAAGACATATCTGCTACGACTAGTCCATCCAAAATAAATGTTAACGATTCGAATCATGATGCTGGAGTGAAATGTAACGAAGTGTCAAAAAGTGGAAAAACTACCGAAGATACTCCTGTAAGAAATACGAGTCCTCAGTTGGGGGAAGGTGAAGAATGGAATACCCCTGAACAGAGTAACAGCGAGGATAGTAGTCTCAGTGACAGTGATAAAACATTGGTTGGAGATGCACCAGAAGATGATATTTTTCAATCACCGTATGGTAAAATTATCATATCAGAAAACCGTGCCATTAAAATGTTGAATCAAGCCGGACTCGAGAATCCGGACAATATCATTGACGATTCTGAATATTATTTCAAAGCCATCCCTTACGTCAGTAGTTACGGAAAATGTATGTATTTGAAGTTTTTGTTCACGATGTGTCTAAGGTATCATAAAACATTTAATAAGAATTATTTTTATTATAGTTATACACGTACTGGTTGACAAAAGGATGATATTCAGCACCTTAAAGAAACATTTGGAATCGTATGTCGGTGTACCTTCAGAATATTTCAAAATAGCTCGTTATTTCGATGAATCTAGCGATTCTGAATGTAATTTATTTTGTCGACTTGTTTCTTTTTATGAGGATAGCGAGGAACTTTTTATAAGGCTTGGACGAGCTCTACGTAACGGTGAATTTCCAGTAACATTATATCAGTTTCGTATTAATTCACTCGAGGTATGTAGAAAATGTTCAGCATTTTGTAAATTTTCGAATATCTTTTACCATTATTCGGTAACGTTTTATTCTTGTCTGCGCAGCCTTACAAATTCTTGTGTGAATCGGTTCTTTCGGAGGGTATGCTGGTTAGTGAAGCAAAAAAAGTACTTTTGGCAGAAATTAAAAGAAAGTGCGACATAGATATTCCATATGAAAGGTGTCGATTGAGGAAAAAGTGCTTTAGTAGAGCCTCAAAAGTATTTTTAGACGATCAGAAATTCAAATTTCCATTTTTCTCACAATTCGAATTGATCATACAAGAGTTACCTGGTAAGGATCCAGTTACCAACAGCAACCAAGTTGTTGTATTCCTTCAGAGATGGTCAATTGAAGAAATGCAACTTAAACCGCTCGAAGAAATTGTTTTGGATGGAAAAACTGCAAAGGAATTGTACAAAAAAGTAAGCGAAAGTGAATTCCGACATTGTGATTTTTAATTATAAATAGGTTAAATAATGAATATTTATTTAGGTGTCTTCGATTTCGGAAATCCCTGAAAATCACTTAGACATAGCAAAAGGAGTAAGGGGTTCTGTCCCATATACGTTTATCTCTCAAATTCAGGATGAAGTAGACTGGGAGGAGACTCATGCTGATATTGAAGTTAGTATTCACGATGGCGCTCTATTCATATATAGGTATGTATTCTAAACATGAATTATTTAGTCAAAAAGAGATATAAGAATAACCTAAGTATAGGAGTAGTATAGGAAGTAATTTGTTAATTTTCTATTTAACAGGGATAACAGGGAAATGGCGAAAAATGTACCGCGGGGGGAGGTCACTGATCTACCATTTCATCAAGATGTATCTTTTTTATTATCACCTTCCTCTACGCCACGTTATAGTGGGCGAAAAGAGAAAGCACTTAGAATAAATTTGGATGCCGAATGATCGTCTATCGAGCATGTATCGTTTGAAAAATAATTGTTAAATAGGCATGTGTGGGAACATGAAATGCGTACAAAGTGATTACATCGTGTCAGGTATTTGTGGAATCAAGTATTCAACAATCACAAAATATTCTGTGCTTTGATATAAGTCTTCGATACTTCAAATCTTCCGTGATCCTAAAGCCTTTCTCGGTTTCTAAAGATTCGATTCTGATTATCACGTTTCATTCTAAACTGTTTCAAGATCATAAAAGTCATACAATTTCCTATAATCTATGGATAACTAAAGTATAAAATCTCATTAAAAGGCACAGCAAATACTGATGAATATAATAGAAATACTAAATGTTAGTAAATTACAAAAGAACAAGAAAATGATAACGAGAAGAAAATTCACTCGCTTGATGATAATCCGAATTTAAACTATGGACTTCTTATAATATACACGTATACAATTGATATATTCAGAGTTCCTGCAGATACATTATTTTCACAAATTCCTCGATACATTTCTTAACCCCAAGGATTTTAACACCTTTGCATATCTGTATTAAAGTATTTTAGATTACTGTTTCGTTGAAAAAATTAAATGTTAGTGTTGGAATACAGCACAGAGTATATTCGTTTGTTGAGAAACATTTATCTGACACAACAATAATTAACCCTTTTAATGCCAGTATAGGTTAAATTGCATTCTTACAATATTCATAGAACCATAAGTCCCAAATTCAATTGTTTAATCTGGTAGTAGCAGCGCTTAGATGAGTTAGCTATTAATTAGACAAGATTAGCTATGAATTTGGTTATACTTTTGTTCTTTACGCTTCATATTGTTTTAAATGCATTCAACGTATACTCTATATAGTTTGTCAAAGGATTAAAGATATAATTCAGAGCTGTTTAAGTATCGATGACGAGGTTCTTTCAATTCATTAGTTCGTTCATTATTTATTCTTTAAATCTAGATTTAATTGCGCCACTACTATCAAATTAAGGAAACGTACGACTACAAAGATCGATCTTAATCAGGCATGTATCCTACAGTCTGTTAGTTTATTTAATTATGTATGTTTATCATTCATTATGTGTTGTCTGTACAAAAAATATCTGTACCACTCGGAGAACAAAAGAAAAAGTACACTTAGCTACTTTGGCACTACTGTTGTTTCCGACAGATTAAGTTTTCAATATAAAGAAAGAAAAAAAAAAAGATTCTCAATGGAAGTCCACTAAATTTACATTTTGTATGATAGACCAATGCTTGTAAATAATAAAACTTGTGAATCGAATATCAATATCTTTCTTCGTATCACCATACGTAACAGAACATGAAATTATGTTTGTACAATGTCGTGTTGCATGCATATAGAGCACAGCATTTTCTTGCATTTATCGGCAGCCTAGCTTGACGTTTTCTTTTTTAACTCCATTATTAGGTATTTTGGTGCTGAAAGGGTTAAATAAAAAGTTGTTAATTATTACTACTAGAATGTTTGGTAAAAAGAAATTTATGAGGTATATATTATCACAACAATGCTCTTACACTTTTCGATACAATTACAATTTATATTTGTGGTGTATTTGCTATGTACAAGCCTAGTTCAGAATACACTAACAGCCTGTTACGAATATGACAATCTAGATATTTATAGAATGAAGAATATAAGAAATTACAAGTTTTATATAGAGAAATTTTATCAAAGTATATTAACAATCCAGTAAAAAAAGAAAGAAGTTCGTGCATTGTATTATTGTTGATTTTATTAAACTTTAATCATTATTTCATTTTATTAGTTGTTCAAGATCTATGAATAGTAGTGTAATTATGCAGTGTAGACATTTACACAATTTGTTATCCTTATATTTTATCATATTGAAAAATTTCATACAAAGTACTAGAAAACGACTGTCATTATAGATATTTAAAAGTATTTTTAATCCTTTTATTTTTCTTAACTCCTTCAAATGAAAATAATAGGTGAACAAAAGCTTGGAACTTAAAAATTAACTCAATGACGAGATAAAAACTAAACAATCTGTACTCTAAAATTAGTAATTTAATATTTATTTGTCCAATTTATTAAACAATTCATAAGACTGAAAATTATCAGTTATTTAATGTACTCAAATTTTTTCCATATTGATTAAATGTTATTGAATATTTTCATTTTCTTCTCAGAAAGAATCTTTTATACTAACATCTTTAGTATTCGCTGTATTTATTATCTTAAACTTTCAATTCTTTAATTTAAACTCGAGATTCATCAGGGGAGGATCCAGAACCTTTGTTTGGGAGGGATGAAATATACTTGTACAAAGTAACTGGATTCATTCAATTTATGTTTGTATTCGTTGAGTTATAAATATTTCCTTTTACCTTAATGTATCTTTTGCGTGAATTGTTTGAAATAGTGTGATTATGTAGTATATTGAAAGTATTTGATTCAATTTAGGATTTACATTTATCCATATATAAACTTTTCATAATAATTATTTAAACGAATTTTAATTAACTTATGATTATTTATAATTTCTATATAATTCGTAATTACAAAAATATCTAATAAACAATTAACATTTTATGTAGGATAACAAAAATCGATTATAACAATTAATCTTACACTTTATTATCGCGGTTATATTAAAATTCGAAATGTAAATGATATTAGATATCATAAATCACCGAAAGTTCTTTATTATTTTGTGTTTTGTGATCTACTTTACATGTTATTTTGTTTCATAGTATTTTATCGTAAGCAATAAAGGATGTTTATCGCATACGAACATTAAATGAAATTTGTACAAATTATTTTAACGTGTTTTAAGAATGCACAGTAATCAATTTCATCATTTCTACTGTATAATGTACTTCCCGCCCAATTTCGTATATTATCATGGTTGCCAATCTATGTTATAAAAGTTTTGAAATATTTCGTAACACCGCGATCAGACGTAAATATTAGTCTTGGATGTGTTGTTGAAATACCTTTCCAAGTAAAAAATAAATGATATTTATAAATTGAACAATTAAAGTATATTTAAATACTTTTGTTATTTGTATGTTTGCTAACCTGCGTCATCAAAATTTTCAAAAATTTCGCAACATTGTGATTAAAGATAAATATTGGCTTTGGATGCGTTATTAAAATATTTATACGGATAGAAAGTAAATTACATTTGCTTTTGTTACATGCAAAATATGGTGTACTTACATTTCCCATCAAATTTAACAGAGGAGGAGTTAATGCTGCAGGCAAAATATAATAAACTGAAAAGAAAGGTACAGATAGGTTATGTTTACGTTGTGATGATTTAACAAAACTTTAAATTCAAAATACTACAAGTTAATCGTGTTTTGTGAGTTAATGTGACAGGAGTATAACTTGTTCATGATGCTTGAACCTTTTCTTGAATTATATATACAAAGAAAATTGAGTGCCATACATTATAAGTTTCTATAATTTTATGTCTATTAATTCTAAGTATCTTTATATGTTATTACTTTTAATTACCTGTGTGATAATTGCAACTTTTGATATCTTTTCCAGAAAAAGGCTTTGCAAGATCTAAAATCACCAAAGCAAGAAATTGAACGTATACCACAAACTCCAAAAAGGCCAACAGAGGCAAGGGATGCGAGAGAAGTTGCTAAAAAGCTAATAAAGTCTGGTGTGATCACAGCTCCTAAAACTCCTAAAAGACCAGAGCAGTCGTTTAAACGGCCACGTGGATTAGTAAGGAAACTAAATAGTACAGAGAAAACAGTAAGTTCTTATCAGCCGTTCTCAGCTACACAGATGGAAGAAGAAGAAACAGAGACAGCACGACCAAGGGTTAAAGATTTGTACGATAGTTTTGTAAGCGCGCAAGATACAGAGGATCGTACAGGAAACGATACTCAGTCACCTTCAAAACAGGAAATAAAGCCACGTGCAGGGAACACAATATTTGTATGCGGTTACAAAATATCAGAAGACTTCTTGAAAAAACATTTTCAAACATTTGGAAATATCATTAACATTTCAATGGAAGCAGAAAAAAAGTAGGTATTACTCCTACACCCCTTGCCAAATGAAGTAGCATAAAATTTTATTGATACATAATTTTATTTTTTAGCCATGGATTCATAACATTCGACAAATCGGAATCGGCTGAAAGGGCAATAAGTGAAATGGATGGTAGTATGGTATCATCGATTCAGTTAAAAGTGTCGTTAGCACGAAGACAACCTATAATAGAATCTATAAGTGATGTTTCATCTAGCTCTATGTGGTCACCAATCGCGGCGAACTATTCTCAGAAAAGTGTGCACAAAGATAGGAGAGATCTGAAAGTGTACGAGGAAGATCTTTTTATGTGAATGCAATATTTTTAATTTATCCATATAGTTCTAGGGCGTATTGTTACACGGTTACAATCTCGTTTTAAGATAATATTGTACATAGCTTCCAATATTTTTAAGGTATGGAAAAACTATTTTTCGTTTCAATCGTGCTTCTTTTATAATACTACGTTGGTATTATAAATTTGTATCTAGTCGAGCTCTAAATCGATATAAAACGTGTTATTCTGTTTCTTCTCGTATTCTTTACGAACTATTGGCATCTAGATGGTATGTGAAATTTCAATCTTTTCTACAAAGGATTCATGTCAATAAAAAAATAGTTATAACACTTGTTTCGGTAATAGGTATTTGATTATTGAAAGGTATATGCGTATACATATATATATCAGTATATATATACACATATGCAGCACTTATTATTTAAGTACAAGTATTCTCGTAGCAAATTATGCGGTATATCCTTTTTACAGGTATCAGTCACTCACCACTGTTTGCATTACAAGATTTTCAGACGATGGTTTCTGTCAATTCGTTGTTAATTGCGTTTCGTTCAAATGTAACATTCGAGCAGAAAAGAAATTTCATCATTGGCGTAACTAGGATTTCCGGGATGGATCAAATCTTTCAACTTTCTAACAGTGTCAGTACCCTAAATTAGATCAAATGGTTTCTGGAAATTTTTAAACTTTTAATATGAAGCATACAAGGTATCCTAGGAGTCTCTGTTTAGTTACGTCAATGAATTGAACTGCTCCAAGGCTTTAATTTACCAATCTTATTATTTTTGTTACACGCTCTGTTCATCCGTCTATATTTCTGTCCATATTATTAGTTCCGTCATTTTTTCTGTTAGCAATTCTCGTTCCCCTTGAAATGTTATAAATTTACATCTTAAGAACGATACATTAAAAATAAAATACATGACGTTGAGCTGTTTATTGATGTTCTTTATTTCTGTGCGTTATTTAGGTGGATTAAAGTAATCCCAGTGATGATGGTGGGTCACCGTTCGCGTGCTACCGAACAAGAATATCAACAGACCCGTGACTAGCAACAGCATGGCGCATATCGTTAATTCCACTTCTCTGATCTTCTCTCTGGATTCTTCGCCTACCATGGATGCTGCGTACCGCACGAAATGTCTCATGGCTTTAATGCACGCTAACCGTAGAACTCTCGTTAATTGTCTAACGCTATCCGCGACGCTGGGCTCCGAATCTACGCGTTGACTCGTCAGTGACAGGAATTGACTTGGAATTTGTGAAGCTGGAAACGCTATGAGATGAGTGCCACCTAGGGGAAAGGAGGGTATCGGTGACTGGGACGACTCTCTTTGGCTGTCCCTGTCGGACACCTCGGTGTACGAGGTGTAAGAGATAACGGCACGTTGCGGTTGTGTCTCGCTGGTGATGCCTTGATGCGTGACATTATCAGGCGTGTCCGGTGTTACTGAAATGGCTGGTGGCAAGGATCGTACCGGTGAAGCGGTTTGTCGTTCGCTAGACAAACGTATAGGTGACGGTGATCTGGATCTCGATTTTCGAGACTTCGGCTCTGTACTTTCGAGCGAGCTCTCTTTGTCTTTACCCTTATGCCGGTGCTCCGCCATCAGTGTGGAGAATTCGGCCGGTACTTTCGAATCGGTAGATCCTTCCAACTCGCTCGGTTCGGACATTCGATCCGGGGACAATCTTGATTCCGTCACCTGGTCCCCTGTTTTCGGTATAGACGGGGGAAGGGAAGCGCGGGATTCTTCCACGTTGGTAGCCGTGCTCAAAGAAAGGGGGGATTCTGAATCAGAAATTCGTAATGACTTATCTTCGGTTGGCTGAACGACAGGGGGTGATTGTGTTGTGAGAAAGATGTCTTTGTCGCTCAACTCTACGTGGGTGACTGATAATGTATGCGTTACCGGTATGTCGTTATCCTCGACGTTTGCTCGTGTGCGTGTGGTGGATATATCTTTGTCCTTCGATTCAGTTACTTCTTTTTTAACAACCTTTTGCTCCTCTGGCGTTGACTTCTCCTCTCGCGGAGGACTCTGTTGAACCGTCTGTTCGTCTCTCGTTTTCGGTTCCTGTTCCCTGCTCGCTATAGGAATGTCCGTCTTCTTTTCCTGTTCCGCTCTGCTCGCGCTGATCTCCATTCGACTCTGTTGGGCTTGAGACGCGGCCACCGTTTCCAAGTGACTTCTGATCGCTATCAGTTCCTTGATGATGGACGGAGACAGGCCTTCTTCTATCATACCTGTCATACTCTTCAGTTCGGAAGCAGTGATAACCAACGCGTCCACTTCCGACGCGACGATTTTACCCGCCTCTATCTGTGACACGTTCAGTCGATCTACTCTCAGGTCGCCCACCTCCAGGTTGCTGATTCTTACAGGTTCGCTGGGTGACAGAGCGGAATGGACGAGTGGCGAACGCGGTCTTTCGTCGCGAATGGGTTCCAAGTGTGGCGCGGACAGGTGTCTGTCCTCGAGTTCGCGGGTGGGCGACGGGGACTTCAAGGACACAGTGTCGTAGGTGAGACCCATTTGCTCGTCAATCCGCGCGCGTTGGGACATTGGCAAGGGTGGAACGGGCGGTGTGCTCGCGCTCGACGGGCTCGGTATTCTCTCGGTGGAGACCATGATCTGGGAGCCAGATCTGGACGGAGCGACGACCAGCTTGGCCTGGGTCACTTCCTCCTCGATCACCATGTCGTCGGGTAACGGGTCCGTCTGCGTCGCGGTCGTCGTCTCCATGACGGACTCCTGGTTCATCGCGCTCGCTGACCGTTCCAGTGATCTGTCCTTTCTCGCTCTGGGCGGTCTCGGAGGGGCAGGAAGCGGACGTCCTTGCATCTTACTCAACACTTGATCGCTGCGGAGATCCTTGTGTTCTCCGTCGTCGGAATCGATTTCGATGTAGGGAGCGGATTCCGCTGTTTGTAGAGTCGTCTCGAACGCGTCGGTTAATATATTAATTTCTCTGGACTTACTAGGACCTAGGGTACTGTAGGCGCGTTGGGGTCGTTTCGGCGGGACGGGTCTCGGAGCCGTAGCGAACTTGTCTCTCTTTCTCCTGGGTGGCGGGGGTCTGGGTGGTTTGTCGCGTTTATCTATAATCGCGTACCCTGACAGATCTCTGCCAAAGTCCAGGTCGTCTCTGGGTATATCCTCTTCCGCGTATCCGATCTCCGGTAGCGACTCGGCACCGTGGGACGTTCTATCCTCGTCTTGGGCCACCGACGTTCCTCTGGACCTCGATCTCCTCTTTGGCGCAACGGGTGCTGGTTCCATGTACTCCTCTTCTCGCAGGCGCGTGGCCAGCATCCGAATGTTCTCCTCGCTGGTTGCCATGATCTCCTCGGCCGTGTACGCTTCCTCGTCTGGCAGCTGGTCCATGCTCGTGGGAGGTAGCGGCAGCGGTTTTTCGGGAGCTGAATCAGCTCCACCCCACTCGGTATGCCCATTGCATATAGCCGCCACTTCACCGTTCCTTCTTTCCGTGGGTGTCTCTTTGCGTAAACGCTTTCGACGTTTGGGTACGACGGGAGGTACCGGTGAAGGTGGGCGATCTACTTCCGGTATCTGCGATTGACTGCGCTGAGAGGACTTTGACTTTCTGCGCACCGGTTTCACAACCACGATGTCGTCCAAGGGTTCGACGGGCAGCTCCGCAGGCTCCCCTTCGGTCCGATAAACTATGCGGTGCTTGGAGCCGCTTCTGGTGCGTTCGCGGAACTGATCGTCCATGGACTCGCTGCGACGAGCTCTGTTCGGGTCTCGTTTGGGTCTGATCGGTGGCATCACCTCGTACGATTCGATCGAGCCCTCCTTCTGCCTCCTCAGTGACCTCTTCCTCATCGGACGTTGCGGAGGAATCGGCATCGAGTCGTCCGCCAACGCGTTCATCGCGTCCGGTCGCAGAGCGTCTCTGATCTCGCTGGTCAGATACTTGCCCAGGTTCATATCGTCCTGGCTGAGACCGCTCTCCCTCAGGAAGAACTCGTCGGAGTCGATCTCCTCGATGACCCCTCGGCGTCGTCGATCGCACGAGCTGCCGCTCGATTGTTGTTGCTCCCTGTCCGACTGAGCGGACGACGGTTCGGCTTCTTCCTCTTCCTCCATCTCCTCGTCGTACTCCTCCTCCTCCGACGGGGTCTTGTGTACCCCGTATCTCCTGGGATCGACCATTGCGAAGTTCCCGTCGTAACCCTCGTCCTCCCTACCACGCAGGACCTCCTCCAACGAGCGAGATCGTTGAACCGCTCTGAATTCCTCTCTGGCCATCCGCTCCTCCGCTCTCCAATCCGCTTCGCCCTCCTCCTCCTTCCCGGTCTCCTCCTCCTTGTACAACCTCGGACTCGACTCCATTCGTTCCCTCTCGTAGGACTCCTCCTCCGTTCTTGAAGCCTCCGACGTCGGATGAGCCTGACGCTCGGAGATCTCCGGGGACTCCTGCTCGTAGTCCATGTATTGCAGCTCCTCCGGTCGCTGCTTCTCTTCCCAGGGTATTCTAGTGTCTTCCGCGTACCCGATGGACAACCTGGGCTGCTCCATCGAGGGACGACGCCAGGGCCGCGATCTCTCCGCCGCGGTCTCCGGGTCCGAACGATCCTCGTCGATGTACGCCGTCTTCTCGAACCTCCGGGCCCACTTCTCGCTCACGACCATGCCCTTCCGCGGGCGCGGGAACGTGGCGCTCTCGGTGGACTGCGCTCGCGAGTCTTTCGGCGTGGACGTCGCGTATTCGCCCCTGCTCTTCGACTTCCGGTCGAATATCCGAGGGTACGTGGAGAAGTCGAAGATGTTCCTGCGGGAGCCGACCGTCGACTCCGTGGAGCGCTCGTCGTGCGACGGCGGAGATCTGGTGCCGCGAGCCAAGGCGTTCGGCAGACGAATATTTGGCTTCTTCAGGTTGAACTTGGGCCTCTCGGGCAGGTTGAACTTGGGCCTCTCCGGCAGAGAGAATCTCGGCCGATTCGGAAGGTTGAATTTCGGCCGCTCGGAGAAGGACGATCTGATTCTGTCCATTCGGCTGGGTCTCTTCTCTTGCGTCCTGGACTTGTCCGACCTGCCGCTGCTCGCCGACCTGGTCTTCTCTGGTCTCTGTCGTTCCGGGAACGCGAACGACGGTCGTTTAATGTTCCTCAACCTCGTACGCAGCTTACCAGCCTGCGTTTTCAGCTTGTGGGGCAATCCGCGGGCACCGCGACGCAGCGGCAGCTCCTCCAATGCCAACGAGTCTACCTGAAATAAAAAGATTGGCAATCGTTGATTCATTGGCCGATCGATTATAAGCGGAATGAAAAAACGTGACCGACAACGTAACTCGTTTAAGAATGCTTCGCTTCGTATATCGAAGTTGCGTCGCTCGCGGGATGCTTCAACCTGATACCGATACTCGACCTGCACCTTGACGCAATACCTTTGTTTTTTTGCATTGCGAGCGGTCGTAAGAGACGGGGGGTAAGTATGCGGACTTAGAAATAGCATCGTCGAGAATGTCAATAAGGATAAAAGGGATGCGGAGGAGCGACGAGTTATTATGGGTAACGTAACAATTTAACGAGAGAATTAATTTCAGTCGGTTGTTCAGATGGATTTCAATTTCAGATGCTGATTTATCTCTGGTGGTGGTGTTTGGTGATTGGCGAATTTCGGAAAATTTGGGCATCGAAAAGTTTTGGAATTGCAACATTAGGAAGCTGGAAGATTAAGAAACGGAATAGGCAAAATTGTGGAACTGCAAGTTAGGATACTTGTAAAGCGCAAATTCGGAAATGAAAAAATAGAGAAATGAAATGCAGAAAGCAGCGATATGAGACTATGTAAGTCATGATGAATGAAGAGATCCCCCTGAGATAGAAGCGATAGTTACGCGAATGGCGTTACGTAACGCGCGAACGAGATACGACGGATTCGTCGATGATGAATTCGTAGTTGATGATCGTTTCGACGTGAATCTGGTTATTTTAGGGGAATTGTGCAATCGATGGGAAAAGCCCGAGCTTTCTGGAACGTAGCGACGATGATTGCACAATGCCTCGGACAGTGACACGTTGGCTCCAATGCTTTTTATACGCGTGTTTCGCTAAATATAGGACCGGTGAGCAACAAACGAGAAAGCCTGCGCGACATTCTTACAACTGTGTTCGTTTTGTAAAATCATAGGTCTGACTTCCTTGAAGAAAAAGAGTAGCAGACAGACAGGTCTAATATTATTTGGGCTTCGTTTTAACTGTTCGAGACGTTACAAAATGTTGCCAGACGAATTGTCGAACTGATTCGATGATAAAAAAAAATATATACTGATCGAATTGAGTAACCTCCTCCTTTTTCGAAGTCGGTTAAAAAAATAGGAGTATCTGAAATTTCTATATTCTTCTTAGCTTATGTTTTTGAAAATTCGTGTCTAAGTATGTAATTCGAAGATTGTATATTATTGTATCTGAACTTTAACTATAATTTGTTAAAGAAACAATATTTTGTTTCTAAACTTTCATATATTTAAATCTCTTAAGTTAACTTTCGAATCATCATTTCTAAATTTCAGGATCTTCAGACTTCCTGAAATTATCAAATTCCTACATTTTCACGTTCAAATCGTGGGAACCTGACGAAATCTGTCGAACTTCGCCGGAGATTGACGAAAACAAACCCCTCGAAAATCGCCGAAAACAAACGAATTCACCGTCGATCCTATGAAAGCTAACGAATTCACCCGGGAACCTGACGAAATCTGTCGAACTTCGCCGGAGATTGACGAAAACAAACCCCTCGAAAATCGCCGAAAACAAACGAATTCACCGTCGATCCTACGAAAGCTAACGAATTCACCCGAAAACCTACGAAGGCTACCGAAGCGCCGAAAACTCGAAGCGAACCAATGAGCGGCGAGTGCCAACTCGTGAGGCGGGAACGTAAGAGATCTAAAATTCGTTTACCTGGCTAGTGTTAACCTCGGCATCGGTTCTCGACTCGGCGCTAGGAGTGGGTGCGCTCAGGAACCGCTCCTCCAGTCTGTCCTGCAATTGTTGAGGCGTTTCGAGTTCCTCGGAGGTGTCGCCGGCTTCGACGAGCTCGCGACCCTCCATCGCGGTGTCCTCGATCTTGCCATCCAGAGGTAGTATCAGGTCGCCGGCTTTCGTCAGCTCCGGTGGCAGACGTGCCCGGTCGTCGATGCTGTCGTCGCTGTCTGCGACGGGCACCACATCCGTGTCGGTGATTCGCACGACCGGCGCCGACGCCGGTTTCGGCGACGGTGACGGAGCGGCGATCGGTTCGTACTCGTGCTCGCTGTTACGAAAAGTCACTCGTTTTTTCCTTCTGGTTCTCACCGGCATTTTGCGCGACATGGTTACTTGTTTACAGTCAAGTTACTTGCTTGCAGTCTTGTTAGTTAAGTCGATCCGGTTAATTGGATTAATTGAGCAGGTTGTTCCGGGTAATTGACGTGGTTAATTGACACGTTCCGGGGTAGTTCGAAAGGAGTTAGTCGAGGAATGCTCTTTCGATAACCATTAAGGATCACATCCATACTCATTTTGGAGATTCCATTATATTGCATAGATATTAATATTTTTATATATTAGAGTATATTGATATTTAAAGAGTAAATGCATATTGATTCTATTGATATGCAGTATAGTATAAGATAAAAAATATTGTTCCGACTTTGACCAGGTGTCTCAGGTTTATCACCCTCTTATAGGATCAATTTGTCCCTCCTTGTTTCACATATACTTTGTGTATGTCCCAATGTAATTTAACCATCTCTGGATATTGCAGTCTCCTTAATATATGAATATATATAATCGAACGAGCGCGATACAGTTAAAAGTCAGTCTTGTTAGTTGAAATGCAGACGGAATGCTTATTCTACGGTGTCGCTGGAACGAGATCAGTCTCAGTGGAATGAGCAGAAAGTGGTCGGACGCGGGTCCTCGGCAGTGATACGAGTCAGTCTTTGGATCACAGAGTTGATTCGAAGACGGTTCAAGCAGGAGGGCACCGTTTATTTGATTTCTCCTCTGTCTTGGTTGATTCAGGTACATTTTCATTCCGGTAATACTGTGGGTGTGCTGTTAGAGTGGCAGAAATTGATTAGTGCAAATTAGGTGGAAGGTGTGTAATGGTTAAGAGGGGTTCTGTGAACTTTGGGGGTGTGGGAAGTTTAGGGAATTTTGAGGTGGAGGAATTTGGGGATTTTGGGAGTTAGGGATTTAGATTTTGGGGGTTTAGAAACTTGGGAATTGGAATTTGAGAGTTTGGAGGCTTGGGGAGTTGGGGAATTGGGAATTAAGTTTACTCGTAACTAGCTTGTTCTTTACGACCTCCCACGCGTCGAAATTGCCAGTCATTACAGCCCACGAGAAAAGCACAGCGTGAATTATAAAGAGGATGTTTTATCGTTCCGAACGTTACCAACTGCGATATTTCAATAAAAACAGACACACCTTTATCCCGTGCGAGATCTTCTGCGAAATAACGAGTGGGCCCGATTTTAACTACGCTCGGAACGACCTAAATCTCAGGGAACAATATAACGTAAAATGAAGAGCACATCTGGCTTCCCTAGGGATTATATGCCAAGGGAACAGGAGTCTTACTGCGATTTCTGTTGCGATTTTTTATGGTGGATTTGGGAAGTTAGAATTTTGTGAACATTGGGAACTTGGGAATTTGGAGAATAGGAGAAGAGGAGAAATTTAGAAAATTAGGATTGTAGGAGTTGGAGTTGGAGATTTGGGGAATTTGGGAATTGGGAAATGTGGGAATTGGGGAATGTGGGAATTGGGGAATGTGGGAATTGAGGGACGTGGGAATTGGGGAATGTGGGAATTGGGGAATGTGGGAATTGGGGAATGTGGGAATTGGGGAATGTGGGAATTGGGGAATGTGGGAATTGGGGAATGTGGGAATTGGGGAATGTGGGAATTGGGGAATGTGGGAATTGGGGAATGTGGGAATTGGGGAATGTGGGAATTGGGGAATGTGGGAATTGGGGAATGTGGGAATTGGGGAATGTGGGAATTGGGGAATGTGGGAATTGGGGAGTGGGAATTGGGGGACGTGGGAATTGGGGGACGTGGGAATTGGGGAACGTGCGAATTCGGAAATGTGGGAATTGGGGAAATTGAGAATTTGGGGAATTTGGGGATCTGGGGACTGGGGAATTGGGGAACGTGCGAATTCGGGAATGTGGGAATTGGGGAATGTGAGAATTTGGAATTTGTGAAACTTGGAATTTTGGAAATTTGAAAATTTACAAATTAGAAAATTAGGAAATCTGTATATTTAAGAAGTAATACAAAATTTCCTAATTTAACAATTTCATGATTGATAACACAACTTGGAAATTTATAAACATATCTTAAATTACAAATTTCCTAATCCATAATACCCCTGCCATATCAATTCAAAATGGCGCATCCGTACTTCCAGTCATCCTCCCAATACTGTACCAAATCAAGATATACATCATGATCACTATAAACCATAATTACTCCAAAACTCTATTTTCAGACACGCCCTATTGAATGAACACGTCAGATGTGTACCTGTATCATAACTGACATGACGCGTACATGCGAACAGAGATACATAGTTTGGACGCGGAACCAAGCGAGCTGATCGAGAATTCTATGTATAGCCACCCGGGCGAACCTTAAATAGCTGCGGTGGTTCGCGAGCATAGTCGAAACGCGTAACCCACACAGCATCTTGGATCATCGTGCGTATGTGCATGCCGCATTCGAGAGCTCGAGGGATTCGTCTGGAAAAGGCATGGGTCATGCTGGCCTGGATACCGATACACTTATGAAGGCGGTCAATCGATCTTTACGTTCGATCTCGATCAACTTTCCTATCAAGTCATGAACTAAAAATGTTTATTACCGAAACACTTATCGGAGGAGGGGGTTAATTGAGTTTAACGTTCGTTCATGATCAATTTTCCTAATATGTTGTAAATTAAAAATGTGTAGCACTGACCTATTTATTGGAGGAGGGGGTTAATTGAGTTTAATGTTCGATCACGATCAATTTTCCTAATATGTTGTAAATTAAAAATGTTTAGTACTGACATATTTATTGCAGAAGGGGGTTTATTGAGTTTAACGTTCGTTCATGATCAATTTTCCTAATATGTTGTAAATTAAAAATGTGTAGCACTGACCTATTTATTGGAGGAGGGGGTTAATTGAGTTTAACGTTCGTTCATGATCAATTTTCCTAATATGTTGTAAATTAAAAATGTGTAGCACTGACCTATTTATTGGAGGAGGGGGTTAATTGAGTTTAATGTTCGATCACGATCAATTTTCCTAATATGTTGTAAATTAAAAATGTGTAGCACTGACCTATTTATTGGAGGAGGGGGTTAATTGAGTTTAATGTTCGATCACGATCAATTTTCCTAATATGTTGTAAATTAAAAATGTGTAGCACTGACCTATTTATTGGAGGAGGGGGTTAATTGAGTTTAATGTTCGATCACGATCAATTTTCCTAATATGTTGTAAATTAAAAATGTGTAGCACTGACCTATTTATTGGAGGAGGGGGTTAATTGAGTTTAATGTTCGATCACGATCAATTTTCCTAATATGTTGTAAATTAAAAATGTGTAGCACTGACCTATTTATTGGAGGAGGGGGTTAATTGAGTTTAATGTTCGATCACGATCAATTTTCCTAATATGTTGTAAATTAAAAATGTGTAGCACTGACCTATTTATTGGAGGAGGGGGTTAATTGAGTTTAATGTTCGATCACGATCAATTTTCCTAATATGTTGTAAATTAAAAATGTGTAGCACTGACCTATTTATTGGAGGAGGGGGTTAATTGAGTTTAACGTTCGTTCACGATCAATTTTCCTAATACGTTGTAAATTAAAAATGTTTAGTACTGACATATTTATTGGAGGAGAGGGTTCATTGAGTTTAACGTTCGTTCATGATCAATTTTCCTAATATGTTGTAAATTAAAAATGTGTAGCACTGACATATTTATTGCAGAAGGGGGTTTATTGAGTTTAACGTTCGTTCATGATCAATTTTCCTAATATATTGTAAATTAAAAATGTTTAGTACTGACATATTTATTGGAGGAGGGGGTTTATTGAGTTTAACGTTCGTTCATGATCAATTTTCCTAATATGTTGTAAATTAAAAATGTGTAGCACTGACATATTTATTGCAGAAGGGGGTTTATTGAGTTTAATGTTCGATGCCGATCAATTTTCCTAATATGTTGTAAATTAAAAATGTTTAGTACTGACATATTTATTGGAGCAGGAGGTTAATTGAGTTTAACGTTCGTTCATGATCAATTTTCCTAATATGTTGTAAATTAAAAATGTGTAGCACTGACCTATTTATTGGAGGAGGGGGTTAATTGAGTTTAATGTTCGATCACGATCAATTTTCCTAATATGTTGTAAATTAAAAATGTTTAGTACTGACATATTTATTGCAGAAGGGGGTTCATTGAGTTTATTGTTCGATGCCGATCAATTTTCCTAATATATTGTAAATTAAAAATGTTTAGTACTGACACATTGACAAACGTGTCCTCCAATAGGAGAAGGAGGTTAATTGAATTTAACGTTCGATCCCGATCAATTTTTCTATCTCATCAAAAATTAAAAATGTTTAATACTGACATGTCTTATGAATCGTATCGTTGAGGTATCATTCGTTGGTTAATTTTGGTAAAAATATTTGAAACGTCGAAGCTTTAGATGTGGACCATGTGACAGTACGAGAAGATCGATTAGTACCACATGAACTGTTTAATAAAACTCAATGAACCGTTTAATAATATTGTTTAATGTGAAATGAGATTATCGATGTTAAGTGAGCTGTGTTATGTTGGATAATGCCGAGTGAGTTTAATGGCGAGACGTCGATGATATTGGTATACGTTATTGGTATAGTTATTCAAAGGCCCTATATGTCCAACTATGTATCAAATCTAGACACTATATCTAGACACTACATCTACACACTATATCTAGATACTACATCTAGACACTATATCTAGATACTGCATGTAGACACTATATCTAGATACTACATCTACACACTATATCTAGACACTACATCTAGATACTATATCTAGACACTAGATACTAAATCTACAACTACATATCCAACAAAGACACCTACATGTCAGTATACCTCTACCCGGCACGTTTCACAGAAAATTTCGAACAACCAAAGTTACCGGTCATAAAACATCACTCGACATGTTCCTATTTAATCTCACGAAATATCACGAACCAAGTATCATGTAAATAGCGATGATACCACCTCCCTAACCGGTATTAGTACGCGGCATTACCACATCGGGATCGAAGCGCAAGTACATTCTCCGGCAAGGTATAGCAAGGTCGTAAATTGTAAATGTTTCGATAAGTAATGTTTGTATATCAGGGCCGTAATTTACTGACCTGCAGCGGACCGCAGGTGGCTGCTGCATCGTCCTGGACGGCGGTCTACCGAGGAGAGCACGTCGTTCCGGCAGAAGCGAGTCGCTCTGGTAGTACTGACAGCCACAACGGACCTCGCGGCCGAGGCTCGACGTCGACGACGCTCGCGAAGCGCGTCCACGTTGCTCCGGCTCCATCCCCACCCCCTGGGATTCCACTTGTCCACCTCCAGCCTTCGACTCCTACCTGAGAGCACGACGCTGTTCACGAGCCCGCCTTTTCCTCCTCCAGTTTAACGCTCGCTGTTGATCCTCACCCCATACGCACCGGTCAAAGAAAAGAGGGAGATGGAGAGGAGTAGTATTCTCCTAGAGCGGACCGCCGCTGCCGCGGCTTCTAGGCGACTCTTGTACCCTCTGACCGTCCGAGAAACACCGACTCGGACAGAGGATTATTTATAGAAACTTTTCGTGTCGGCCGGACATCGCTCGCCAGAATTCACCTGTACCGGGATGATCATCGTACCACCTGGCGGACTGTTCCGCGAAATGGACCGACACGAGCGACGACCAGGGATGGCGCGATTGGGGGCGAAATGGGGTAGATTGTTTTTATTGTGGTTTTTGGAGGTTTGGATGGTAGTCGAGGTCGATGGTTTTGGGAGATGGGGGAGTTGGGGAGAGTTGAGCTTTTGGGGAGGTTAAGGTTGGAAATTTGGGAATTTGGGAAAGTGGGGTATTTGGGGATTTTGAACTTGGGAATGTGGTATTTGGGGATTTTGGGATTTGGGGATGTGAATGTGGGGATTGTGGATTTTCAGATTTGGGGATTTTTAATGTGGGAACTGGGGATTGGGGATTTGAGGAATTAGGGAATTGGAGAGTTGGAAATTTAGGGATTTAGGCATTTGGAGATTTGGGAATTTAGGGATTTGGGGATTTGGGGACTTGGGGATTTGGGGATTTGGGGATTTGGGGATTTGGGGATTTGGGAATTTGGGAATTTGGGAATTTGGGAATTTGGGAATTTGGGAATTTGGGAATTTGGGAATTTGGGAATTTGGGAATTTGGGAATTTGGGAATTTGGGGATTTGAGGAATTGGTGAAGTGAGAAGTTGGAGAATTGGAGAGTTGGAAATTTAGGGATTTAGGCATTTGGAGATGTGGGAATTTAGGGATTTGGGGATTTGGGGACTTGGGGATTTGGGGATTTGGGGATTTGGGGATTTGGGGATTTGGGAATTTGGGAATTTGGGAATTTGGGAATTTGGGAATTTGGGAATTTGGGAATTTGGGAATTTGGGAATTTGGGAATTTGGGGATTTGGGAATTTGGGGATTTGGGAATTTGGGAATTTGGGAATTTAGGGATTTTGGGATTTGGGTATTTGGGAATTTGGGGATTTGGGAATTTGGAAATTTGGGAATTTGGGAATTTGGGAATTTGGTGAAGTGAGAAATTGGAAAATTGGAGAGTTGGAAATTTAGGGATTTGGAGATTTGGGAATTTGGGGATATGGGGATATGGGGATTTAGGAATTTGGGGATTTTGGGGATCTGGGGACTGGGGAATTTAGGATTTAGGGATTTAGAGATTTGAGGAACTGGTGAAGTAAGAAATTGGGAAATTTGATAGTTGGAAGTTTAGGATTTAGGAATTTGGGGATTTGGAAGTTTGGGATTTAGGAATTTGAGGATTTGGAAGTTTAGGATTTAGGAATTTTAGGATTTGATGATTCTGATGATTTTGGGGATTTTGGGGATTTTGGAGATTTGAGGATTTGGTGATTTGAGGATTTGGTGATTTTAAGGATTCAATCATATGAAAATTATATACTTCAAAATTTGACAATTTGACATCTCGCAATCCAGAGAAATGCATTCTTAATCCACCCCTGGCCGCAGACGCGGGAATTCGATTTTCTGGCGACGGCGCGCGTCGCGACGTTTTCTGCCCCGTTTAGTCCGTTCAAGGAAATATCTGTATCTGCTGTACGTTTTATGTTTCCGATTCTATAACCCTCAAGTCGAGTTTACATCGATAAAGTACATGATTTAATCAGCATTACTGTTTCCCTATAAATAATGTGGCAGATAACCTTGTCCACGTGTAGCAATGATTACTATACCTACCAATGTGACTATGTCCAATGTTACAATGTAACCTAGGAATACTTCATTCTCTTCAGGACTTCTTTGAAGTTACAAAAAGAAATAATATAACTTTTTGAATATTAAAATTAATTATTATCAGTACATCACATATAATTATTTAATGCACATATTGTAGAATTATTGAATGAAATAATTGAAAAGAAATAATTGTTTGAGGCTATTGGTTGCTAAATCAAGGGAAGAACCAAAGGTTTATAGACACTTTAGTGTTTTAGAAGAGATGAAGTTTGAATTTTTAGTATTTGTATGTTTCCGTTGCGCATAGTCGGTTCGGTGAACCGATGTTCGCGCTATTCTTCGATCGTTCTTAAGCTTAGTTTACATTAGTAAACTATTTTCATAAACTTGTAGCGTCACTTACTATTCACTGCACTATTTTAACCTAGAACTTATTCAAGCTTTCATATTTGGAATTTGGGGAATTTGGAATTTGGGGGATTTGGATTTTGGGGGATTTGGAATTTGGAGGATTTGGAATTAGGGAGATTTGGAATTTGGGGGATTTGGAATTTGGGAAATTTGGAATTTGGGGGAGTTGGAATTTGGGGGATTTGAAATTTGGGAAATTTGGAATTTGGGTGATTTGGAATTTGGGGGATAAGGAATTGGGGAATGTTGGAATTGGGGAATGTGGGAATCGGGGAATGTGGGAATCGGGGAATGTGGGAATTGGGGGATGTGGAATTTGGGAAATTTGGAATTGGGGAATGTTGGAATTAGGTAATGTGGGAATTGGGGAATTTGGAAGTAGGTAATGTAGGAATTGGGGAATGTTGGAATTAGGTAATGTGGGAATTGGGGAACGTTGGAATTGGGGAATGTGGAAATCGGGGAATGTGGGAATTGGGGAACGTTGGAATTGGAGAATGTTGGAATTGGGGAATGTGGAAATCGGGGAATGTGGGAATTGGGAGATGTGGAATTTGGGGAATGTTGGAATTAGGTAATGTGGGAATTGGGGAACGTTGGAATTGGAGAATGTTGGAATTGGGGAATGTGGAAATCGGGGAATGTGGGAATGGAGGAATGTGGGAATTGGGGGATGTGGAATTTGGGAAATTTGGAAGTGGGGAATGTTGGAATTAGGTAATGTGGGAATTGGGGAATTTGGAAGTAGGTAATGTAGGAATTGGGGAATGTTGGAATTAGGTAATGTGGGAATTGGGGAATGTTGAAATTGGGGAATATTGGAAATGTTGAATATTGGAATTGGGGAATGTAGAAATTGGGAGACGTGATAAAACTTACGTTGTGTTCAGTTCGAGGACGATTATCCTTCTTCCTTCCAATTACTCTTCTTTCTTCTTCATCAAAACTAACCTTTCTACCTCTCACATTTAATTTTCAAAAATAATTCTTACCTTATTTTCCACATGTCACAATCTTGAATTAAAAAAGAATCTTAAAGCAATACTCTATAGTATTGCAAAAGTGAAACGTGCACGATACGCGTTATTTCACGTAGTTTTTCTTTTATTATCAACATTGTCGGTGTTGATGTTTTGTTGTTAAACGGCACTTAAGCTTTTGTCTCAGGACCACATTGGTTTCTTTCTATTACATTCTTCGAATCGGTGCCGATCAAGGCGAAATTTAAGACTGTGGATGTGATCCAAATGGCTGCACGCAATACTTCAGGGATATTTTCACTGATGATAAACGTGGGCCATGTTTTATTGCAATACTCGAGAGCGCATTTCGAATTCTGATATTCACGGTTGTAAATTGCTCTTATAAAACCCGTTCATATTTATTTCAAACTATCGACGTAGCATTAACAAAATCTTGCTACCTCATTTTTCGATTTACCTTCACCTTTCAATTTTTATTCTCGTTGCTTCATATTTCAATTTTTATTCTCATTGCTTCATATTTCAATTTATCTTTCAATTTTATATTTTAATTTTTACCTTTCTGTATTTTTATGTTACAAAAAAATACCACCGGGAAATGAAAAATAAATCTGATTTTAATATCACAGCTCCCTTACCGTCCCAAATAAATATTAAAAAAATTCTACGCGAAAAATGTAGCAATAAATTATAAATATTTTAGCTCTACCATTTTTCCGAAAAAATTTTACAGAAAAAGATTTATCCAACAAAGAGTAAAAGCTCGCTAACGGTACTGCTTTTGATAGTCGAACTTCAATGATTTCACTGCGTTTATTCCACAAAATACAAATCGATAAATTCTATCTTTTCTTGTAGACTTTTTTTTATTTTTATAAGGTCCTACATGCCGTAGGACACTGAAACTGTGCTGGTGTCCTAAAAGTACTTAAAAAAAACCGTCCTTGTACTCTTCCCTAATCGGTTGGATATACGCTATCGTCGTTAGGAATAAACAATCTGTTTGAATAATCAAGCTTCAGTGGGGTCGAATTTGAACAGTTGAATAGAATCAATGGTGGCAGCCGGTTTTATTCGCGTGGCAATATAACGTGTGGTAGTGCTACGCGCCGAAATACCACGCGTGGCGATATAACGCGTGGAAGTACTACGCGCCGAAATACCACGCGTGGCGATATAACGCGTGGAAGTACTACGCGCCGAAATACCACGCGTGGCGATATAACGCGTGGAAGTACTACGCGCCGAAATACCACGCGTGGCGATATAACGCGTGGAAGTACTACGCGCCGAAATACCACGCGTGGCGATATAACGCGTGGAAGTACTACGCGCCGAAATACCACGCGTGGCGATATAACGCGTGGAAGTACTACGCGCCGAAATACCACGCGTGGCAATATAACGCGTGGTAGTACTACGCGCCAAAATACCACACGTGGCGATATAACGCGTGGAAGTACTACGCGCCGAAGTACTACGCGCCGAAATACCACGCGTGGCAATATAACGCGTGGTAGTGCTACGCGCCGAAATACCACGCGTGGCGATATAACGCGTGGAAGTACTACGCACCGAAATACCACGCGTGGCGATATAACGCGTGGAATTACTACGCGCTGAAATACCACGCGTGGCAATATAACGCGTGGAAGTACTACGCCCCGAAATACCACGCGTGGCAATATAACGCGTGGAAGTGCTACGCGCCGAAATACCACGCGTGGCTATATAACGCGTGGTAGTAGTACGCCCCGAAATACCACGCGTGGCAATATACCGCGTGGTAGTACTACGCGCCGAAATACCACGCGTGGCGATATAACGCGTGGCAATGTAACGCGTAGTAGTACTACGCGCCGAAACACCACGCGTGGCGATATAACGCGTGGCAATGTAACGCGTAGTAGTACTACTCTTTTTGAATAATCAGGCTTCAGTGGGGTCGAATTTGAACAGTTGAATAGAATCAATGGTTGCAGCCGGTTTTATTCAATTTCGGAGGCTATACTGAATAATATCCTTGCTGGAAGGAACATGACGAGGTGTTTCAGACAAACTCGACTCCTCTTAGTTATTTTTTTTTTCTCTTTTTTCGTCGCTCACATC